AACTACCAACGTAAATTTCGTCATGAAAGTTGTTTGCAGGATTCGCAGAACTGTATGTCTATTTTTGTACTATCACATCTTTCGGTATCTACCGAGATTAAAGCATAGAAATTGTTTAACTTGTCTTTCCGGCAAGGCTCCTCTCAAGTCCCTTTTTGAACGAATTTCTCAAACAAAGGCTTTCGTCCACTCATTGTTATTTTATTGTAATGATAGCCTAAACTTTTTATGTTCGTATATATTTGTCTTTTCTTGCGACCCTTGAGCTGCAAGCTTGTTGTCTTGCCTGTTTAAATCGGAAATATTAATATTCGTTGATTAACGTTCACCGATCGCTAACGGACTGCACTTGTCCCGTTCTCGAGCCCTGCCAGCAGCCGCATACCGGCTGCTGGCAGATGAACCTTGTCGGCAAAGCCCAGTGAGACTGCAGTGGCCATGTCTTGTACATAAAGGCATATCTGACGACTTCGGATAGAATGACACAATTTGCTTTATGGGCGGCTTAACAACCACGGTTTCTTTACACTTAGAAACATGGGTTTAATTATAGTTTCTAGGGCGTATGAATAAGGCAACTGTCCCTTACCCACCCACTAATAATTGCATGATATGTTCGGAGACCTGCTAGCTGTTTTAGAGTGACTGGTTGGTCGACTTTTAAAACGTCCCATGGCATTCTAAACCGCTACGCAAAGCTCACACGGAACACTTTCCTGGGGGTCTTTTAAACCCACAAAATAGCTAGGATCCAGTGCAGAGTGAAGAGAAATCGGCGAAATAGTAGTATAATATGATTCAGCTGTCCTGTCAAACGCCCTGACATAAAAACAAGACGAATTCTTAGCGATAGTGCCGCTTATTTCTTGAACTCCTTCATGATATTTTGCAGATACTTGAGGAGCGTTCATGACAAGAAATAGTTGATCACTATCGGTTTATTTTGTTTTTTTTAATGCGTTTATTTTTCATACTTTTTATAAGTGCGCATTTGTGCCCCTGGCGTCTCGTGATTAGAGCATCATGAAAACCATTTCCCTGTTTTTTTTTTAAACGCTACATATAGTCGTTCTCCTTAGCAGTGTTCACTGCTTCTGGGCGACTGATTTCACGACTGCAACCTACTTTAGATTCTCCTCCATATCAGTACTATCATAGTTTTAGTCGCCTTTATTAGTTATATCAGCAAGCAATGGCTGTTACTAATTCAGTGCTCCATCCTCCCTGCCATTTTGTCGTTGCCTGTGACGATGTTAGTGAAGCAAACCACAAGACGTAGCATAAAGCAGTTACGTCATCTGGTTGTTTTGCGCCTAACTCATGCTAATGCGGCAACTCTGTGACCATCCGCGTGTCCGCCCCCCCCCCTCAATTTTTTATGCGTATATTTAATTAAACCATGCTTGAACCCGTAGGGAATCTCGGGCTTTCTGTGTGATGCAAAGAGCCGGCCAGTGTCTGTAACACAAAAAAGGAACAAAAAAATGTTTCACTCTAGTATCTGCAAGCTTCATCTTGCGCTCCCTTTAACCCTATTTTAAAAGAAGTTGAGTAACATACAGAGCTGCCGTTTTCCTTCGGGTTACACGTGTTAATGTTCTAATTATTATTTCTTTCCTTTTTTCTCGCCAAACCACTTTAAGTTTTTCCCAACGTTGACTTAAAATATTTTTTATTATAGGGCTGTTTAGGTTATCTGCGCATCTGTTGGAATTCCGCCTCTGGCTGGATCTGTGTCTTCCTCGTGGGTATTGTTGCAGGTATCGTCGCCGCCATCATCGATATCGGTTCACCTTGGCTATCCGATCTGAAGGAGGGCATTTGTTTAGATGCTTTTTGGTTCAACCGCGCCCAGTGTTGCTGGTCCTCCAACAGTTCGGGTAAAAGTTGTGACGAGGTACGCCCAATGTTCCGATTAGTGATTGCTCCTTCCTATTATTTATCCCTTCCTAAGTGCCAACGTTTCTTTTCTTTCTTGTGACTCTTTGGACCAATCAGGGTCCCTGTTTTGTTCGGAAACATAAACACCACGCATGGTGTGTACCTCGCCAGTCGCTGCACCTGGTCTTACAATGAGTCGTGTTAACTCGGTCTTCCCATTAATGTTCAGTGGGCCACGGTGGCCGTTATGGTGGCTCTCTTGCGCCTTTGGGCTTTCGCGGTGGCCAAAAGTGGCACCGGAAAACTTTCCTCCTGAACTGAAGGTCAGTCTCTAACAGCTTATGCTAACCGCTTCTGAGGTAGGATCATAGAGAGAGAGAAAGAATACTGATTTGTGGGACCAACAAGCGTGCTACGCACTAATGCAGTTGAAAACGCCTAGTTACCTCTTGCATCCACATTCATTTCTAGTCGCCTTGACCTTGTGTTGTCATTACTGCACCGTAGCAAGGGAAGGGGAAACTCATGCCGACGCAGTTCAAGTTTTCTAAAGTCTATGCACTCCAGTGTCTTCCATTTTGTTCAGTTTCGGTGTATTCTCCCGGAAGAGTGGGATGCTAGTCTGCCTCCTAAATCTTTTCTCCACCCAACGTCTTGGTGTACGCAATTTCTGATTTTTAAAGGTAATTACCGACATTTTCGAATGTGCCTTCACGCATCAAATAATTCTCCCTTTCAATCTGTCAGAATAAAATTTATCCCCCTGTCTGATGTTGGGTTCTAAAGTAAATCCGAATGACAGGGCCAATAGTGCGTTTTTACGAAGGATTAAACGCCATTCTCCTCAAACGGATATTTAAATGCAATTTTCTAATGCTATTCCGTTTGCTGTTGCAGGATGACTTCCCACTGACAATATTCATAGATATATGCAATAATATCAATAGTAACAGTTGCTTTAACAGTATTATAGTCTTGCCTTCGTAGAAAGAGCTTTTTTCTATGTCACGCCGCCACTTTCACAGACTTACACCGCGATACTAACCCATCTTTTTAGGTTTTGCCATAGTTCCTCTAGACCTGGGTCCTTCTAAAACGGAATCTATTCTCTTATGTCGTCTGAATAGTTTTAAAACACTGTAGGTCTTTATTCCCCGAAGACACTCACTAAGCTTTCCAATGTTTTGATGTAGCATATTGTAGTTTATGAACTATTGTTTTAACTTAGCAGCAACTTACATATATTTTAGGAAAGTACGCAATTGGGAAGCCTCCACAGTAAACAAACTTTCATTATAGCCCCTGTTGTCAAAGCTGTCCATAAGAATCAAATTCTCTCCAAGTGTTTTCTAGATAAAATCACACAACTTGCACGAAAACTGTGTAAATTATCGTGAAATAATTTTAACTCCATGCCACTCTTATTGGCCTATTAAAAGTGCTCCTAATGTGGTAGGTGGACGCTCATCGACCACATTACGGGACGCGCTCGTTCGGTTTTGCCTTGGGATCAAACCTCGAGGCCCACCGGCAGCCGCTTAGCGGCTAGCATATTATAGGCAGAAATTCGTCACTGCGAAAGAGTAGGGAGATTGAAATGGCTGTTTCCGGCTTATTGACCGGACCGGACATGTGACGTATTCGCCAGAGTGTTGAACTTCTATCTAACGGGTCGTGAGTTCGAGCCTCAGAGGTTAAAAAACTTGGATTTGGGTAGGGCTGACAAATGAGATTAACAATTCAGAATTGGTCATTCCAATCTCCATTGTCTTTGTCAGTAATGTATTACTCTTAATGTGCTCCTTCACATTATTCAAAATTTCCTTTCATACGGCATAAATTGTGATTTTATGGGCTTTACCACTTCAGTCGATATTTTCATAATGTTCCTTTTATGGCAACCTCTCTTTGAAATTTGTTACGCCCTATTAGATCATTATCGGCAATGTTTGCTTTGCCTCTGTCCACTTTTGCTTTTAGTGGTACACTTGGTCAAGACTGCTAATGAAGAAAGATCCTACTTCTGAGCATCCAGATGCCTACTTCATCGGCTATGTGTTTTTTGTTTTGTGGGCTGTGTCGTTCTCTGGACTCTGTGCTCTCTTCGTGCGGACCTTTGCCCCCTATGCGTGTGGTTAGTTTTATTTGCTTCTCAATTTCTTCTTGACGGTTTTCCTTAAGTTCTTTCTAAATATCTTCTACACCGTTAACTCTATTGACACGAAAAATAGATTGAGGCGAATATTCGGATTCCAGATGTTGTATAAGTAAAGAGGAAGGAGTAGAAAAAGATTCGCTGCCCGCGCGAATTATGGCTTTTTTCGTTTGAGCTTTCGAACTCTTACTGGAAATCTATCGTAAAACGTCCGTGTGGTCAATCTGGAGGGGACTGCGCAGGGCTCTGTATGCAGCCGCCAAATCGATAAATCATCTGACTGATTTCTCATCGGAAACCCAACGAGCAGCGAGCCTCCTTTTCTTATACCCAAAAAAATCAGCAAAAAGAGCTCATTGCAAATACTAATAAACCTGCATTCTGTCCGACCTAGGAGCTCCGCCAACAAATGGTTTTGAAGGACTGTTTGACTGGGGCCGGATTAAGAGGTAGTGGCGTTGACGTTTTAATCACCACAAAACAACCCCAGACAGTCCAACTTCGTGAAATATTTAATTTGCCTGCCGTCTATGAGACTGGCGCGTTTTGTGTGCTTGCAGAGAACCTGCATTTCTTTACCGCATTCATTGTGACATGTAGGACGTCAACTTAACAAACACTGCCAAAACTGCGGGCAGACGTAACCTGTACCACTGCTAATTAATCCAAATTTCACATACACTCTCCGAAGTTAATTAGGCGAGGGCGCGCCGCCACTATCGGCCGCTAATAAGCGAAACCTCTCTTTGACGCCGATTCCCCCAACTATGCTGCGTCGGATTCCAAATGGTAAACACTTGATGGATGAACGTAATTGCGATGTCCGGATTCACACAGACATTGGCGTCTTTCCTGCCCACAGCACATTCCGTCACCGCATGGACTTATTCACAGATGTTTTCGTTCACGTCAACGATCGCTACCATGTCAGTTGTTTTTCAGGCGCACATTGTCCCACGCCGTCAAACACTATAAGACCAATGGTTAGATTTTTATAAGGCTTCAAAACTTTTGTGAAGGACACTCATGTACCGAAGTTAGCAAATGGTCTGCGCTAGTAATTGCTTGCTATCTCTGTTTCATGCCATTTGAGTAATCTCGGCTCATTCGTCCTCTCATTAAATTACGGATCTCCATTAATAACAGTATTTTAAAAAAACCGTCATTGGTGATCTGAAACCGACATTGGAAGAAACCTCTCATTTAACGACGTCTGCCTAGCGATCGTATTCGGACTTGATCATCAGACTGGGCTTGTTCATTTATCACTTTTTTCCTGCGGTTAATCTTAATATGTGAAGCAAAGCATCGAGTAATAATAACAGTTCCAATGTCGTTTTCGACTATGTCCACTACGTTCTTCAACAAACTGAAGCCAAACGCGGGGACTCACGCTGGATTATAGTGCAAATGAACTCACGGAGAATCTACCTCGCATTCTTACCACTCCCACACTTGTATCCGGTGTCAAGACAAAAGTCGATAGGACGAGAGAGGGAGGAGAGCGCAGGTGGTTGGTGCGGCC